ACACCAAACAACCCAAGCAGCACTGTAGTGGGGAGTGTAGGGTTGCCATCCTCCAGGTGGGGCCTGGAGAACTCCTGGCATTACAACTGACCTTCAGAATACAGAGATAGTTCCCTGGATAAAAGGGCTGCATTAGAAAGTGGACTCTGTGACATTATACCCCACTGAGATCCTTCCTCTTCCCAAGCTCCACCCCCAAATCTACACAAATTTCCCAATCTGGCATTGGCAGCCCTACGAATAAGCTAAAAGTCACGGCCACAAAGGAGGCAAGAACTAAGATGAAGTGATTAGGCAAAGTAAGAGAGACAGCTGGTTCCTTAGTGTGCCAGCAGTTATGCCAAAGCAATGGCACTTCATTGGTGGGGGATTCTTATGTTCTCTTATGTGTTCTTATGTTCTTACCTGAGGGCATACCTGAGGGACCGCCTTTCCCCATACAAACCCCAAAAAGCACTTCGGTCGGGGTCACAACACCGTCTAGTGACCCCGGGCCCTAAAGAGGCCAGGCTTGCTGCCACAAGGGCCAGGTCCTTTTCGGTGGCGGCTCCTATCTGGTGGAATGAGCTCCCAGAGGAGATCAGGGGCCTGTGGGACTTGTTACAGTTCCGCAGGGCCTGTAAGACGGAGCTCTTCTGCCAGGCTTTCGAATAGGAGCCGCCGCCGCCGCCACCACCAACGGGTGTCTGCAAAGCAGTACCGCTGGGTTAGGCTGACTGGCCACCGAACATCGGGGCCATAGCATCCCCCTCTCTGACTCAATGTGATGTGCAATAGGGAGCGAGTATGTTAGTCGCGATGGATCCCTGGGAGTTGCCCACTGTGCTTAACTGTTTTAAATCGCACTGTGCCTTAATTGTTTTAATTGTGGTGTTGTATTACACCTGTGTTTTGTAAGCCGCCCTGATGGTGGGATATAAATGCAATAAAATAAATAAAATAAATAATAAATAAAGCCCTTGGGGCTCTTTAGCTTGGAGAAACGACGGCTGAGGGGTGACATGATCGAGGTTTATAAGATTATGCATGGGACAGAGCAGGTGGAGAAAGAAGTACTTTTCTCCCTTTCTCACAATACAAGAACTCGTGGGCATTCCATGAAATCGCTGAGCAGGTGGGTTAGAACAGATAAAAATAAGTACCTTTTCACACAAAAAGTGTGTAATGCATGGAATTCACTGCCATGGGAGGTGGTGGTGACTATAAGCATGGACAGCTTCAAGAGGGAATTAGATAAATATATGGAACAGAGATCCATTAGTGGCTATTAGCTACAAAGTATAGATAGGAACTCTGGGGCAGGTGATGCTCTGTATTCTTGGTGCTTGGGGGGGGGGGGCAAAAGTGGGAGGGCTTCCAGTGTCCTGGCCCCACTGATGGACCTCCTGATGGCACCTGGTATTTCTGGCCACTGTATGACAGAGTGTTGGACTAGATGGGCCATGGGCCTGATCCAACATTGGCTTCTCTTATGTTCTTCGCTTTTTACAGAAAGGGATCATCTGTAGGAAGGCAAGAAAACATCCAACCCCCATGCCAGCAGTGAAGCAACCCAGGAAAATGTATACAGCCTGCAACCCCATTTCACAATCATCAAGTAGTATAGAAACATGAAACCTTGGCCTTCCTCAGCTCCACTTTTCGGCTGCTAAATACCTAAATGTAGGCAAGTCTCCAAAGCGGTTCACTCTCTTGCCTTCACATTATTGCCAGATGCTTCCTTTGGGGGGGGGGGAGGCAGAGCGGTGACATCAGACTGGCTAGAGAGCCAGCTGTACTCTTGTGACCTTTGCTGCACAGAAGAGAGATTATGCTTGCTCAGAGCAGAAAATAAAAAAAATGCCTCAACAACTTTAAATCCCGACCGGTGTGTTAAGTCTACAGATAACACCCCCACGCGCACACAGCTGGGCGTGCTCGGCTCTTGCCAGGTCCGTCTTAACGGGAACACGGAAGGAAGATAACAGAACATTGAGTCCAGTTCTGCTGGTGAGAATGTTTGTGCATTTCAGTTTAAGAGCTTTTTCTTGGGGGGAACATTGTTTTTCAATAGGGTGATGTCTTGAAGCTACAAGCATGGCGGCTACAAGCATGGACGGCTTCAAAAGGGAATTAGGCATATGGAGCAGAGGTCCATCAGTGGCTATTAGCCACAAGGTCTAGATAGGGGCTCTGGGGCAAGTGATGCTCTGTCTTCTTGGTGCTTGGTGGGGTCAACATTGGGAGGGCTTCTAATGTCCTGGCTCCACTGGTGGACCTCCTGATGGCACTGGTATTTCTGGCCACTGTGTGATACAGAGTGTTGGACTGGATGGGCCTTTGGCCTGATCCAACATTGGCATCTCTTATGTTCTTATGAAGGGCAGAGGCAGTGACCATCAGCGGCCGTCAACAATAATTTGATACTCCACTCACACTGCGGCACAGGAGAAGATGCCAAGAGACTCAAGCACTGCAGAATGCCATGGTGAAATAAAAATGAGCAGATTTTTCTTGTTTTCCAAAACCACTGTTCTCCTTCCCTGCCAAGCAGGGGCCATTTCGTAGAACAAGAGGTGCAGGAGCTCATTAGCATAGCTTATTTGCATATGCCACACCCCCTGACATCACCGGAAGTGTGTCAGAAGGCAACACCCACCGCTCAGGCTCCACTGGACTGTTTTGGATTGCTAGCTATAATTGGTCTTAAAGGTTCCACTTGCCTGTTTTGGACTGGGGGGGGGGGCTCTGCAACTTACCTGGCTGCTTCTTGCTCTGACTGAGGGCTCCTGGGAGCAGGGGGTGGGGCTTGTTGCATGTGTTCGCCCCCCTGGGCTCTTTACTGCCGGAGCTCCGCTCCTGTGCGCTCCTGCAGGAAATGACCCCTGCTGCCAAGCATCCTCTCTTTAGTCGCTGCCTCTCAGGAAGGAGACTGGTTCTTTTCACATAAAAAGGGCATGCCGTTTATGGAGTCTCTGGAAATGAATTGTAGCAGGTGTACTCCTAGGTTTATGGTTCTGAAAATAAATGTCAGAAGAAGCACTAGGATGCTTTAATGTTTATTGAAGAACATGGGTTCTGTTGAGCAAAGCTAAGCACAGCTGCCAGAGCTCACGTCCTTTTAATAAATTCTCCTTGATGCGATGACAAACAGATGTAATCGTTGTGGTCTTGGATCCTTAGTTAACTCTTTTGAAAGTTCAGTGTGTTTTAGGTGTATTAGCTTGCGGCAATCCTTCCAGCAAGCCTGCCAGATAGGTCAGCATTCTTGTCCTCGTAATGCAGCTGGGGTATGTGGGTGGCTTCCCTAAGACTACTGGGTGAGGTTGTAGCAGAAGCAAGATTCAAACCAGGGACTCCCTGATTTGTAGGTTAGATTCTGTAGGTCACTGCATCAACTCTGTTTTTGAATGCCCTCTTGCATGAAATCCAAATCCAGGCTGAAGTTAAGCACGTCTAATGCCATGATTTCAAGGCAAGAGTCCTGAGAGCAAACTTAACCCTGCCATTTCAAGTTACTGAGACCGATTTCACACAAGAGCTGCGCCGTGGTCGCGCCCCCCTTTGCCCTGCTTCTGTTGGTCAATTTCCCACTCGAAGCCGTGCATCCGCATTTTGACCCACGGCTTTGCCCGATTTTCCCTGCGGTTTCGTGATCCTGTTTTTTGAGGATCACGAAACCACGGGAAAAATTGGGCGAAGCCGCGGGTCAAAATGCGGCCGCGCAGATTCGAGTGGGAAATTGACCAACAGAAGCAGGGCAAAGGGAGGCGTGACCACGGCGCAGCTCTTATGTGAAATCGGTCTGAGAGTCAGAAGTCTGACTTTGGCTAGATCAGGCTTCTCAGACTAAATTGATTCAAGGCTTCTCAAGACTAAGATGCTTTCACTTGCACTCTGTGTGCAAGGAGCAGAGGGAGCGAGTGTACAGGTATGGCAAAAATGCCATGTTTGTGCCCATCATGAACAAGCAGATGCACAAATACAGCCAGCTTGTTAGCATCTCTACGATGGTCAGGTTTTCACTGCAGAGAAAATTCCAAGTGCCATCTTGACTGCCAGTGAAAGGATTCTATTTAATAAATCCAGCAACTTCAACAGTTGCATTATAACAAGTTTTTAAAGGCACCGTTATAAACCTAATGGCAATATGTGGAATGTTATGAAGCTCATGGGGTGTAGAATCCACTCTGCATTTTGATTGCTGCTGTGCAGAAAGATGCTGGACCACAGGGCAGTGTAATCAAATGCTTCTAATACACAAGTTTCCGCTCATATGAAGACAATTACCATGGTTCTGGTTTTGAACATATCACAATTTAATCACCTCCAGATAAATGGAATGAATTGCAATATTGGGACGGGGGTGGGAAAGACTGGGAAAAT